TAAACAGATGGAAGTTTGACCCGTGTCAAAGGTTGGGAGGTGGCTGACGATTCGGGAGGTGGCTGCGGGTTGACGAAAGGGAAAAGCGCAACGGCGACGAGCCTAACCGTTATACTTACACATTAGTGTAAGTGGGTGGAAAACTGTGGCCCTTGTACTAGCCAGAACTTCTTCCAAAACCAATCAGATTTTTTCGATCAGTTTCTTCCGATCCGATTAGCCGAGTAAGTGTGGACTGCGGTTAAGCTTACTCAGTGTAAACCTATTGAAAAATCATTCATATTTGTTTTTATGTTATTTAATCAACAGTAAAGCCTAAATTGCACACGATAAGAGTAATTTACTCATAGGCTGTCAAGATAACACCAAAGTATGAATCAAATCCAGGCCATTTACGCAACAATAATTATCATCTGCTACGTGTGTCGCGACATGGTGGAACCATGCGCTCGTCAATGTTTTGGCCATATTATAATGTGAGGCTGCGTGGCGGAATCAGGCTCTCGGCAAAATAATCAAAGTGAATAAACTTGTATTTTTTGCAGGTTTATGAATTTTTATCAAATTTTTGTGTTTCGGCTCAACACCTTTCATGCCCGTTAAAGAACTCATTTCGGTGTGGATTTTTCTGAAAAACGCAGATTAAAGGTACAATAAATGTAAATTCAGTTGCCACGGACTCTTAAGATAAGGAAATAACTAATCTTTGGCGGCTATTTTCTCACTAATTTTACCTCTGAAAACAGGTGACCCCTCCTCCTTCATTCGCTGATTCCACCACGCTGCCTCACATATGAAATTATTGATATCATCTTAAATGTTGATTTTTTTTTTTTATGTTTGCATTCAATTGGGAAAAAATACCCATCTGTCTTGAAATAAAGTCGAGATATTTGCTATTGAAGGAGATGGGAGTTGCCTGGAGTCAAAGATGAAATTACCGAGAATGGCCACCAAAGTTTAGTGACTTCCAAAGCTTGGGTTTCCTTGGAAGCTGCATTCTAAAATTGTGTGTGCCTTTGATCAATGCCTTTCAAGAAAATCAGTACAGAATTGTGTTTTAAATGGTCATAGAAGGTGTTGAGCTCCTACATTTTTTTTAACAAAAAAATGTCAATTTTAATTAACTGCCCAACGCAGAA